AGCGTAATGGCTATGTCGCTGGACTCCCACGTAGTCGACCGCAGTTTCGTGTCCCGGACCCGGTGGCTTAAAACTCACGCCGGGCGCGTGTGCGTGCGTGCCCAAGATCCCGAGAGGAGAATGGAGGAGAAGGGATTGCGGCGTGACCATCCCCCCGGGGGGTGATTTCTCGCTTTCTGTCTCTATGTCTCTCTCTGTCTGTCTGGCGAGCGCACGCGCCCTACAGTGAAAATCTCTCCAAAAAAAAAAAATAAAAAGGTTTGCTGTGATTACAAACTTGATGCTTTTTCATTTTGAACAAACTTAACCTTTATTTCAAACTGAAGTCACTGTTATTTATGGAAAAAGAAGGTCTAGAGAGGGAAAGCATATTTTCAGTTTATACTAGGCAAACAATTTCTCTGACAGTGAAACTACAGTTTCATCTAAGCCACAGATGCAGGAAAGTTAGACTTTATTTAACATGTCTGATTCAGTAAGTAAGTAGGTTTGCTGCTTCTGAGATGGGAAGAAAGAAAAATGTTCATGAAGATGACCAGAGAATGATTTGTGCTCTTAAGTAACCCTAACCTCAGCTTGCTTTTTTGTGCTAGTGAAATAAAAAGCTTTATGACTTGGGAGGAATTTTTAATTAAAGGAAGTTTAAAGTTGGGAAGTCAAAAGGCAGAGATTGCTTATAGATACCACATGTCTGTAATAATTAAAGCCTGTGTTTGTTCTTTAAGGATGTGTTATATTTTCAAAGAGGAGCCCCACTATGTCCAAAGCACAATTAGTGCCATTTTATTATTGAAATAAAAATTACACGTTTTTTGTTTGCTTTTAGAGAGGTTTTTGCTATAGGCTGGAGAAACAGATAGAGAGTCAGATGTGAGAAATCCCCCCCCCCCAGGGGGGATGGACATGCCACAGTCCCTTCTCCTCCATTCTCCATTTGGGATTTTGTGCATGCTTGCACATGTACCCGGTGTGAATTTTAAGCCTCCTGGTCTGGAACTCAAACTGTGGTCGACTACATGGGAGTCCAGCGACATAACCATTACGCCCTCTGCTGTTCCCTTATTTGTTTTGCTATGACCTAATCCTGCCTCAGCTTCCAGAGTAGCTAAAACTGCAGGCATTTACCACTATACCTGGCTTTAAGGTGGGCCAAAATCGAACTTCATTGTTCCTTGTGGCCTCAGTCTTCGGAGTAAGTAGCAGGTCATCTACAGCTAGGAGTAGCAGGTCATCTACAGCTGAGACTGCTAGTTTTTTTTTTTTTTTTTTTAACTTTCTTGCTCTTTCTTGTGGTTCAGTAGATAATCTTTACCTCTTAGTAATTACTAAGTAATGCACAGAATTAACTCCTATTTTAAGGGATTTGCATTGTTTTCTCTTACTGAGAACATGTCAAAATATTATCAGGTGACATAAATTTGCCTCCCTTTCTGTCTTCTCTGTTGGCCATGGGCTAAATTGATTAAAGCAGTAGAAATAATATCTTTCATGCTCTGGTTCACTGTAAATGTAGATAGACACCAAGAAAAGTTGCTGTCTTTGGGCCTGTTTTCTGTGCTTCAGGAGATAATCTTATGATTATCTATCTTCTATCTATCTTCTATCGAATGTTAGAACTATAAAGGAAGCTAAAACAGTAATTATCTAACTTAGTGTCTTCATTATACAGATGAAGTAGAACCAGAATTGCTGTGTTCTACTGTAGGTAGAGGTTATGCTTCATCTGTGCAATAAGGAAGCTGAGTTAGATAGTATAACTGAGTTAGATAATATATCTGTATAATATTGACTGATTGAGAAATAATGGAGGCCACAAGGAAAGATGTAATGAAAATATTTCCAAGAATTATAATCTGAATTCAGAGTTTAGGAACATTCAGTCCCTAGAGACAAACATGCTCTAATGATGTTTCACTGTTCAGGAAAGGAGAAAATAACTTCATTCTTCTTGCTTCCTAGAGTTTTTAGATCCTAATGATAAAAAGCCTTAATGGACTAAGCAACCTTTTTTTTATTTTTTCTTTCTCCTGCCTTTTTTCCCTCTTTCTTTTGACGCTTGCCTCTTTGTATGGTAGATGTGGTAGAGTTGCTGTTTTGAGTGAGCTTTTGCTAGAAATCCTTAGCTGCTTTTGTCACTCTAGAATTAGGGTGAGACCAAATGGAAAAAACTGATTGTAACCAATCTTTGTTTGTTTGTTTGTTTGTTTTAATAAGGCTTAAGGCATGGAATTAGTGTCTTCATTAATTTCTCTGAAACTTTAAGCTTCAGAAAACTAGTATTTATCACATATGATTGCTGCCTTTTTAAAGTAAGTTAATAGAGGTAACCAGCAGTTAGCATAATGGCTATGTCGCTGGACTCCCATGTAGTTGACCGTGATTCGCGTCCTGGACCCGGTGGCTTAAAACCCATGCCGGGTACGTGTGCGTGCATGCCCAAGATCCCGAGAGGAGAATGGAGGAGAAGGGATTGCGGCGTGGCCATCCCCTCTGGGGGGTGATTTCTCGCTTTCTGTCTCTCTGTCTCTCTGTCTGTCTGGCCAGCGCATGCGCCCTATAGTGAAAAACCTCTAAAATAAAAAACATAAAGTAAGTTATAGAGTAGTCTGGCCATTCCCTGCGACCTACCTTTGGAGTTTAAAATGTCTTCCTGGTATAGTCGGAATGGCAGAGTCAATCTGTTCTACAATTGAGTCTTTGGAATGTTCTAAGCCAGTTTTTATCCTGGCACACAGCCATTTGCACTCCCCCTGCCAACTATTTTTGGCACTGTCATGAACTTGGAAATTAATGATTCTACTCACAGAGAGTAGGAAATTTTGTTCCTTTTCAATTTTAGAAAGGCTTTTATGTTGTTTCTGAGTATTCTTACTCTCTTAATTTATTAATGTTCCTGTCTAACGTGAGGTCTTAAAAACATGCCATAATGATTGGGTTTAATTGAGTTCTGAAATTTCATCAGTAATATGTGGCTCTTGCCACTTGAAACAGAAACACTTTTGAGGATTCTTGTGGAGAACAAAATGACTACTCACAGCAAATACTACAGAAACCAATGATATTGGTGGTTCCATCCATAGTTATAAAGTAATGTGAGTCTGAACAGGCCTGAGTCTTCCACTGTTTCTGTGAAAGGATGAGGAAAAGTGTTAGATTGTTTGGAGTCTTGCAGTGTACCTGGTTTTCTAAGGGTTACTATTCATTTGTAATTACATGGTGAGGAATATTCTTTTTTTAAATAAGATTTTTAAAAGAATTATTTAATTTTATTCATTGCCATTATTATTTTGAAATGGACCAGAGAGAGACAGAGAGAGGAGGAAAGTGAGAAAGCAAGCTGTCAAATCCAGAACTTGAACCTTGGTCAGCTACGTAGGAGTCCAGCTGCCTTAACCGCCATGCCACCTGCCGGCCTTGAGGGATATTCTTATTTAGGGAAATTTTTAGTTTAGGGACCAGCAGTTAGCATAATGGCTATGTCGCTGGACTCCCACGTAGTCGACTATGGTTCGAGTCCTGGACCCGGTGTCTTAAACTCATGCCGGGCGCGTGTGCGTGCGTGCCCAAGATCCCGAGAGAAGAATGGAGGAGGAGGGATTGCGGCATGGTCATCCCCCCCTGGGGGGTGATTTCTCGCTTTCTGTCTCTCTATCTCTCTCTGTCTGTCTGGCGAGCGCACACGCCCTATAACAAAAACCTCTCCAAAAAAAAAAAAAAGGAAATTTTTAGTTTATACCTTTTCTGCTTCATCTCCCCTGCCATACACATGCACACACTCCCACCCACATATATATATATACACACACACACACACACACACACACACACAAAGCAACAATAAGCCCATGTTACTTAAAAATAAAACTTGAGAGGGGTCGGCAGGTGGCATGGTGGTTAAGGGCTCTAGACTCCCACGTGGCTGACCACAGTTCAAGTCCCGGACCTGGCGGCCTGCTTTCTCACTTTCTCTCTCTCACTGTCCCTCTCTGGTCAAATTAAAATAAATGAATAAAGTTAAATAAAATAATTATTTTAAAAAAAAGAAAAAAGAAAATAAAGCTTGAGAAACCTAGGAGACATAGTCAGATGGTCTTTCATAGAGAAATCTGCCTTTCTGTTTAGCATTTGTTTTATGAGGAATCTGGATTTGGAGGGTACTTATACATCCAAATTCTGTAACTTTTGCAAATAAAAGGAAATTATTTGGAGAAGAAAATAAAGTGCTTAAATTCAGATCCTGTTTCCAGACAGTCTCAGAGCTATCATTTTATACTTGCATATCCTTCAGCAAGTTAGTTAACATCTCAGTGCCCTGTTTTATTATCTATAAAATGGATATAGTACATTATTACATAGAATCTAAGATACCAATCGATAAGATAGAGCATGATTTATGTGCTGCGTAAGAAAATGAAAACACTGCCATTAAACTAAAATATACCATCATTTGTTATAATCTTCTTAATTTTAGAGATATTAAAATGTGAAAAAACATGCGTCTTAGAACTGATGTACAGTAATGCCTAATTTTATAGAGTTGTTGTGAGGATTATGCAACTTAGTATTTATAAAGAACTTAGAACAGTGCATGACATATAGTTAGCTCTATATATGTCATCTATTGGGTCATCAGAAAAGTCATGATGTGTTTTTGTGTAGAAAAACAGGAAAATGTGTCATGACTTTTCCAATAACCCAACATTATTATTACTATTGCTATACCTATTATTCCCTCTTTAAACCCATTTGTGTCTTAATTTTGGTCATAGTTTAAGAACTGTCTATGTATACTACCATATATATAGATCTGTGTAGATGAATATATACTTTTACTTATTGAGACAGTATAATATACAGTGCTCAACTCTGGAGCCAGACTGCCAGGATTCAAATGCTAGCTTTGCTAGAACTTGTTCAAATTGCTGTAACTGATTTTTTTTTTTGTACAAATTACTTAACAGTTAATTTCCCTAATTAATGTTCATTTTTATTTTTGCTAGAGCCCCAGAAATTATTCTTGGATTACCATTTTGTGAAGCTATTGATATGTGGTCACTGGGCTGTGTGATAGCTGAGCTGTTTCTGGGATGGCCCCTCTATCCTGGTGCTTCAGAATATGATCAGGTAAGAGTGTTTATCTGGGTCAAAATAAAAAGCAAGTACTGTAGTTACTAATGAAATAGATTCTAGGGGAAGGAAAGTACTAGTTAAGTACTTAGATAATAAGGAAAGAATAGTCCACTATTACTAAGGAATTTTTAAAAAATAGTAAGATTTTCTGTCTGCTTCTAGTCTAAAGCTATGTTTGCATTTCTGTAATAAAAAAGATTTGTATTACTTAAGTTGATATTTTTCCATATCTATAATGATTTATTAGGGATTTAATATTAGTTAACTAATTTGTCTTGTGAGTTAGTATGTGAAAGTAAAATAAGGATCAGGAACTAGAATTTCGAGTAAACTTTATGTTATTCAAAACTGTAGTTATTTCCAATTAAACATGATACACACTGAGGAAAAGATACTCTTTTTCTTTTTTTTTGAGAGGTTTTTGCTATAGGGCGCATGCACTCGCCAGACAGACAGAGAGAGACAGAGAGACAGAAAGCAGGAAATCACCCCCCGGGGGGGTGGCCACGCCGCAATCCCTTCTACTCCATTCTCCTCTCGGGATCTTGGGCACGCACGCACACCTGCCCGGCGTGAGTTTAAGCCACTGGGTCCGGGACTCGAACCGCGGTTGACTACGTGGGAGTCCAGCAACATAGCCACTACGCTAACAGCTGGTCCCCAAGATACTCTTTTTCAGACTGAACCACATTAGTTCCCAAAGGCTTCTACAAAATAGGAAGATCATCTGTGTTTTTAAGCATTGCAGTAAACGACCTATGTCTCAAAACAGACAAGCTTTAGGAGAAGATACAGTTTTCTAAAGCATTGATCCATTGAAGGAAAAAGTTTTGCCATAGAAGTAAAGTCTGAGTATCTTTTTATTTTTTTAAGAGAGTTTTTTTTTTTTTTTTTTTTTTTTTTTTTAAACTATAGGGCTTGTGCACTTGCCAGAGAGATAGAGAGGCAGAAAGCTAGAAATAACCCTGGGGGGTGGCCACGCCACAGTCCCTTCTCCATTCTCCTCTCAGGATTTTGGGCACACATACACATGAGCCTTGTGTGAGTTTTAAGCCACTGGGTCTGGGACTCGGACTGCGGTTGGCCATGTGAGAGTCCAGTGACATAACCATTATGCCACCTGCTGGTCCCATATCTT